TGGTTTCATCTTTACAGAAGTAGCCAACAGCAGCATGCTCCCCATCAACTTCTCCCTTGCAGTTTGAGCAACAGCGGCAGTCATGGCTTTCTATTTTTTATTTTTAACTGCAATATAATTAGGCACTTAGGAAAATGACTCTGAACAGTACAAAAGCTATAGAGTAACTGCGGGTATCAGCGTGGCGCTCTGCAAGCCAAAAGTTTAACCACAGCTTAAGGTACAAGCCAAACTAGCTCCTGTAACGTATGCTGAATCTGGCCAGACACTGAGACATGCTAGTCCAACCTGAGAGAGAGATTCAGAGCTGTAAGATTTCAATCACAAACAGAAGATTTTGCTCCTTTTCTCCGGTCTGTAGGCTGCTGCTCTGTGCCAAAGGAAGCCTTCCTGTGCCCCCATGCTAGTTCCTCTCAGTTGGAAAGTATGCATAGTAGAGCGTAGATGTTTTGCGCAGGCAAGGCTTGTTCGGTCCATCTGGACTGGAAAACTGGACACATTAACTCCTAATTTTAAGCTGGCAGCTGAGAAACCTGTCAGCCAGTTTTTGTGGCTTAAGGAGCATAAAAGTGTTGTTGTCACAGAGGTGGACAGAGCCCATTTGCAGAGGCGCCATACAGCCTGAGCTCCCTGCAGCGCTGGTCACAGCTAATGAGGAGAAGACGATTAACTCCCTTTTTTTCTTTCCCAATTAAATACATGTCTCTTCTGCTTCCTAGGAAGCAGCAGGAGAATTAGGCAGAGGAACAGCCAAAGAAGAAACACGTCGGCTGAGAACGTCAACCTGACTGTTAGTGAACACAGAAAGAGCAGAGATGACAAAGGAGCGAACCACTGAAACCAGCCCTGAATGATCTCAACCCTGCTTTGCAAGGCCCCTGAGCTGGGGACTGCAACAGGCAGAGCAGGTGAGCAGCATTGCACACTTCCACTACCCTTAGACTAGGAGTTCCCCAGGCACTCCTCCCACTTGCCATGGTCAAGGCAAGACACTGGACTAGATGGGCCTTTCGTATAAACCAGCTGGTCATTCTTACACTCTTATGTTAAGTTTCTGGGCTTTTAGGATGTCTAATAATTTGTTTCTTTTGCTTTTGCTTGTTCTTCACAGTAATGTATCCTCAGAGGAGCAATTTCTGATCTTAATGTCAGACAGAAAATCTGCTGGTCAATAACGTGATTAGAGCTAGCTGATTTTCAGTCATCATGAGGAATGTCTCTTACCCTATGGTAAAAGAAAGAGAGGGAAACAAGGCGCCCAAGTGATGAAGACAGACAATTCTCCTACAATGAAGCATTAACGTGCTCTGGGGTGTCATGTGGCAAGATAAGGCAGATTTGAGGTCATCTGAAAACAGGCAAGTAAGGCTTTTACATTTTGACAGCCTTGGGGAATCCAAAGAAAATCGTGTCCATTTGAAGCAGAAGACCAGAACGTCCACGAGTGCAGTAATCTCAAGGACAGTCTTTCTCATCAAGGCCATCCAAACAATCACAAACAGCATGAGCATTTAAATCCTCAACTCAGGGCTTCCTCAGCTCTTCAATACCAACACCATCCAATGCCTCCACTCTTCTCTGTCACCCAAAAGACTAAGGATTGATCTTTACTTACCATAACTGACAGGCAAAGACTGTCACGAAAAGCAATGGGGTGTTTTTGTGTTGTGATAGCATCACCTCTACACACTACAAAAGGATTAACTTTAAGAAACAACAAAAGCAGGTCACCTCTGATATGTTTCTCCAAGAGAGCTTTCAACTCACAAAAGTACTACCATATGCTAAGAGTGAATTTAGAATGGAAAAACAATTATAGAAAGCACCACTTAAAAATAATTCTGCATCTGTGATGGAATACAGTTTTCTGATCATGGCGGGAGAAATGATCTGATAACAGGCATAAACATCCATTCGGAGAAAGATGCAATCCTGCTCATTAGAACACAAGTAGCCTGCAAGTTCCTAAAGGTGCTAACCAGGAACACAGAGAGAAAAGTACTGCAGACGTCTTCATCGTTTCCTCAGGTGATACAAAACAAAACAAAACAGAAAAGAAAGAGAAAATGGGAGACTTTCCAAAGCGAACCTGTCCTCTACATCTAACCCAGTAGTGCCGGCTGCATTGCTTAATGCTAACTGAGAAAGACGCACTCCCTAGCAAAGCATTAAAGTGTTGTGGAGTTTCACAAACCTCTCCACAGTCCCTGTCAGCTTCCTGGCTGGCTCGCAGAAAAGACAACTGATCATTCAGTTTCCAGACTACATGCAGCAGTGCTCTTAGGGTAACTGTCTCTCTGTGTTTGCATCCAGCTACCTTATGCAGCTTGAAACGTGCACAAAGCACAAGGAAGAACTTGATCAAAATACAGCTCATATTTTAGGCAGTGATGGAACAACTGTACGAAGCAGCATTACGCATACAGTAGCGACTGAATTTTTTGGAGGGATTTGCCAGACCACAGACTGATGATACTGCTGCAGTCTCAGTGGAAATCTAGTTTGATGCAATTAGCAGCAATGAACTGAAAAATAGCAGAATAAAACTGCAAATATATATATAAAATATGAGCAACTGTAGAACCGACACAAGCCTAGAGGTCCTATGTGGAGCTCAGAACAGGAATAAGATGAAATCGTAGTGCGAGGGAAACAATTCTGAATTCCCTTCTACTATTTAAAATTAAAGAACCAGATTCTGAATCAAAACAATCGCTTCCCCAGCAGAGATTGGCATCATCTGTTACACAGATACAACAGAAGACAAGTGTGAGGGCATCCCAGAGAGCCAGGCAGCAGGAAGCCAACCCCTGTACTCTTTTGGAAGACTTGCAACTCTGCCTGCAGTTTACTGTTGCCTGAATGTGTTGTATTGAGCACAGATCAGTCAGTTCAGCCAGAATTTTGCTCCGAAAAAGCTGCAAGCAGGTAAAGGAGCATCAGAGTATAAGAGGCAAAGCAATCAGATTAGTTACGCTGCCAACACGCATTTCTCTGTTAAACGACAGAAACGCACGGCCCTTATTTAGTTAGCGTGAGAAGAACTTCAGGGGACGGCCGAACAGGCTGCGTTGCTCTCCCAGCAGGACGCACAGTAAACTCCCTCCCCAGCACAAACCCATATTAGCAGAGGGGCAAAAACTCAAGGCCAGGGGTCACAGTGGAGCAATAGTGGAGGCTGCAGGTTCCCCAACCTTGCTTCGTGGGTTACACAGTCCATGCTCATGACTTGGCTTCAAAGAAACCTGCAGGAGAGGAAAAAATGGGCCAGCAGGGAGAGGCTACAGAAGAACCCTCTTTCTCAGATGTTTCTAACCAAATCCCATGCTCACCTGAAATGAGGATCTGCACTCGCTAGACTACGAGGCAAGCTGCCATTTAAGCCTTTTACAACGGTAATTTGAAATTATTTTCTTACAGCATGCTGTGAATGCTGACAAGCTTGCCACTTCCACAAGCCCTTTACTGCATACGCCTAAGGTGGAAATGCTACAAAAATAAAGCAGAACAAAACGCCCAAGCAACAAAGTTACTTCTAAACAAACACGCCAATGACATTTATAATTTTGTTCAGTAAAGGTGATGGGAGATCTGACAGTCTGAACACTGAGTAGTGAAACAACACACCTTCTACACATAATGGTATAAAAATGGAATATAAATATATACTGCAGCTTTGTGGAGTTTAGGGGCTTTTGCAAGACATTTACGTTATAGAAAGATTTACATTTGGGAAAGTCATCTAGTATATCTGAAATTTCAAGACAAATGGATCTCATAATTACTCTTCAGATAATAATACTGAGCATTGACAGAGCTCTTTTAAAGTCAGAGCACTTTACAAAAATTAATTACTACTTAGTTCACCCTTCTGAAGTGGAAAGGTATAATACCTGCACATACACATGGTCACCAAACACAAACAGATTAAATTCCTTGTCCAAGACCACAGAGGCAGGCTTATTGGCCCTCCTAGCTACTAAAACGTGTGTGCACATGTGCATCCAGGTCTATGTTTAAATAGGCTTATCCTCTTCAGAGCCTTTCCTAGGGTATGGGGCTTTGGCAGTGCAGCCAACCTATTAAATGGGTGTCGACTCATCATGCACGCCCCATGTCAAACCCTGGGTTACAACTGCACTGCAGAATCAGGGAGAGACCACCCTGAGAGTCTGGGGGAGAAGAGAGCACCTGGCTTTCTTCTAACCGACTGCAGAAGGAGCTGGAGCTAGTTTCCTCCGGAAGTGCTTCTTTCTGAAACGTGCTCCAGAGCTTGGAAGCAGACTAAACATACAGTGCCTAGCGTAAATGCTCTTCGCTTGGGCTGCTGGAGACATCTGTGCCCATAAGTGCCAAGAGGCTGTTTTGAAAAACATACGAGATAATTAACAAACGCTCAGCCATTCTGATCAAACATATCAACCGCCAAAAAGGCAACAGACTTTTTGTAGGATGTATAGCTTTAGGTTTGAGGAATAAAAACTGGACTTCATATAGCTAAGGATTAGAAACCCCATTGGTTTAAAAAAAAAAAAAAAACACACACACACAAAAACTGGGTAGCATTAACATTGATGATTCTTGATCAGATTGCCACTGAGTCGTCCCATTAATCCACAATGGAGCACAGCATACCTGAGACACTGTGTGTCACCAAATGTTACAAAATCTGTCCTTTGACAAGCGTACAAAGAGAGAAAGGTCTTCTGAGCTAGTGACAGAGACACATTATCACCTATAATTTGACTGGCAGCCCTACTCCAGTGAACTGAAAGCACTTTAGCAACCATTCCTGTTGCCACCTGGTTTGGTGATGGTTTCATTTCCCTGTACTGGGTCATTGGTTTCTACTTCTTTATCCGAACGCCAACAAAAGCATACATTGTCATGGGAACAAACAGGTATTTTTAGATTCTGCAAGGCTTCTGTCAGTGGTGTCAGATGTGGTTTCAGAGGGACACTATAATTAGTCATCAGCATGTTACCTGGATGGAGAGTTTGCCATTGATGTGTTGGGTAAAACACTTCTAAGTCTTCAGGATCAGCTTCATCTTCTGTTACTGGCTCTTTCCCGCTGTCATCTTTTATGTCGCTCTCTTCTGTTTTCGTAAGGGCAAACTCCTTTTGGATAGAAGAGATTCAGCTCATTAGCAATTGCATCTGAGTAATTTAATGCCGGCTGAGAATACAAAATTTTTCCCTCGCCAGCAGATTTTTTTTTGACATCCGAGATTCTTTCCACATGGTTAAACTTAGATTTAAAGTATATTAAAGGTTAAACATGCATAACTAGCATGACATTTGTGCTGAACAAAGCAATGCAGCTTATTTCCTATTCCAGTGCAGGCAACTGGAGGCTTTAAACAAGCTTTTGCAGAGCCTCACCTATATTACACTCAGAGAGCCAATAGCCCTGACTATTATTAGGCTTGTGTAACATTGTAAGACCCTGTTTTCCCTTGCCTAGAAATATGTCAAACTTTAAACTTTTTTAGCTGAAATTTTCCACACTAGTCTCTTCCGCCTCAAGCGTTTTTTTCTTAAATGTACTTATTTTAGGGCTTGGAGAGAATTTAAGCTAAAATAGTTCAGCTATTTCCAAAATAGAACACGGGAAAAACACATTGTTTTGCCCACATTATAAAAATCTTAGCATCCTTTTCTTTATGCGTTCTGCTGCCTAGAAGTCTTTTAAAACAATGAGGTAGCGCTCTAATCACCACCCACGTTATAATTGCTGCATGCAAATACCAGAGAGGCAGCAGAACAGATAAAACTAATGGTATGACATTAAACAAAGGAAAAACAAAAGATGAAACGCAGGAAAAATTCCTTGCTCCTAGTGAAACCTCATTGTTCACTAAAAAGTTTCCCCAGGGAGCTGATGGGGAGAGTTGCTTAAAACCACAATGGACAAAACTATTGCTATTGCATAACAAGTAGCAATCTCATACTCGGGGGAGACTATTAGTTGGTTGGGAACCAGAAGGTCTTTCTTATTTTGGTTTTCACAGAAACAGATAAGCTGGTCCAGGATAACAGTTCAGACAGTTCTGTTTCTACTGGAGGGAGTACTACCAGTTTCTGATATTGCCAAGAAAGCCACCACTGAACCATTTCAAATAACCAGCCAATAGGGAACGATTATTCCTAACTGTTGGCAATTTTAATAAGATCTATAGCTTAGAACACAAAGTGTTCCAATATTCATCTTTAGAATATTTTCAAAGGCAAAAAAAGAAGTCAATTCAGAGGTGAACTGAAAATTTTAGGCCATGTTCTGCCTTCGCTTCTCCCAACAACTTCACTGGAAAAAATGCATGCCTATTTACCGGCAGAATCTGGACGCTTTGCACTTAAATATCTCTTGTCCAGTCTAGGGGACTGTTTCTGAGCAAAAGAAATGTCAGCCTGAGCAAAACATGCACAATTAGGAACAATATGATAACATATTAAGATGCTTGACAAAGCCATCGGATGTTTTTATTTTATATGTTAACAGGGATCAAAATTTCCAAAATACATTAAAAAATGGAGCTTAACAACTCCTATTTTCGCTTAGTACATTAGAGGCTTGAAATTGTTAAAATTATGACAAACGGTTAAAGCTCAGTAACAATCATAAACATAAAAAGGCAGGTCCTACTGATGAAAATCAATGGTTGCATTTTCTGAGCCAAGGCTCAACAGGACTAAAATAAATGAGTCAGAGCAGTTATTACTTAGCTTATTTGCGCTGTTATATTATTATCCAAGAGGGACTTAATGATACAGTCCATTGTAAATTTACCAGCGTGCCTCCGAGTATTATATCTTTTGAAATACATAATGGAGACGGCTGATGTTTACAGTCTCCGTTCAAGAGAAGTGCTGTGGTCTAAATGTTCTGTAAGGGTAAAAGGATGCGACTTGCTTCATTTAAATGATGCTTCCACTGCTTGGCCCACAGTTGCATTGCAATACTCCGTTTCCATTAGTAGGTTTGATGCCGTTGCCCATTTTCATCACTACGGAAATGCCAGCGATACACAAACCCCTCTTCTTTTATGCAGAAAGCGACAAACTGCATCATTAAGCAGAACCCTTTCTCTCTATCGTTTCCATAATTAAAACAGTAGAAAGAAAAATGTTTCCTAAAAAAAATGGAAATTTCCTTAAAGGCAAAAAGACTCCTTGGTTTATTATTCTGAAATCAACCACAATAAACCGAAAAGGCTCAAAAGGGATGGTCTGAAACAGTCTGCAGTCTGTTTCCAATACAGGAAGGATTTGGCTGCCACAAAGTCTGAAAGGCCGTTGTATGCAGCGTGCAAGAAAAGGCGGTGATCTGAGAGCTACCTACCTACTGAATTCCTCACTTGCCTTTTTCCCAGCTACTCTGCCAGGCTGTCTGCCAGTTCAAGTGGAAGTCACTGGATGGTTGTCCCAGCACTTGTTTTCAAGCTTTTTCCTACAACTGAGGTGACTAACATCTATTTCCAGCCCCCCTCCACCCCCAAATAAAGATAGATTATAACATCATTACTTGACTCCAGGTGGGCTCTAGGCACTGGCCTACAGTGCTTATTCTTTATTCTGTCCCTTACACTTGCTCAGGTAAACAGCACAGCCCACAGTTGTATCGGCAGGACAGCAGGCTACAATGCAAAGGCAGGAGTGTCCCAGGACATGGTGGGCCAGTAACCCCCAAGCCAGTACTGCATTGGAAGCCCCTGTTTTAAGCCATAGCACAAATTAAACAAAACTGCACTGCCGCAGAGCGCATTTAAGGAAAAAAGCTTCCTTGAGGAAGTTTTTCAGAAATGCTAATCTATCGGGGCCTGGCACCTGGCGTTCAAAAGTAAAAACCAGTTCTGCACACCTGCACGAGTGCAAACGACAGAGAGCGCCTACTCCCTTCAAGTGCGGTTTGAAAACTGCACTGCAAGCAGCTAAATCCATGCCTGTGGGATTCGAGGGCCCAAGAGGGTGCTTTTTCGAGCCTGGGTCTAAGTGACTCACTCGTGGTGAGTCAACAGAGGCACAGAAAGAAACATAATCAAGGCCATCTCTTTTCCTCTTCTTGCCACTAGACCACATAATTCGCTTTGCCTCTTGCCATGGGGGAGCGTGCTACTACTCAAAATAGAAGAGGTGACACCTAGTGAACAGGAGAGCTGGCTGGGTTACACCGCTCCTTTTGCGAACCCTTTGGGTGGAATGTTTTCTGGATATCCTGGGATTAGACAAAGAGTCTTAAGAAATAAGCCTTTCCAAAATGTCATTACTGAGAACCCACTGTTGAAAGGCAAAGAGGCGATTCATCACTTGGTATAATGGCATTATACCAAGGGTTAGGTAAGGCTCTCACCCCCCTACTCCCTCCCCCCCCGGAGACAGGTGACAGGTTTAAGTGGCTGAATGGCCCCGGAGGGGTAAGGCTCACTGCTAGGGCAGCTCACACTTACGGGAACTCTGTCACTTAAGCCCGACCACGAAAACACTGCAGAGATCACTAAAACCAGCAGGTTGACTTTAGCAGCTGTGGAGAGGAGACCAGGGCAGTGAGACATTGCCATCAGCCTGAAAGACAAGGGAAAACAAAACCAACATTTTAGTATGAATTTTCAGTTTTCGGCATCCTTTATGCTACGTTTTTTGACACAGCACAAGTTTAGGGGTATGATACAGCAGGACACAGACTCTCCCTACTGGTTTCATCGAAGGGCATCGGATGTTAAGGGGTGCTGATTATACTGCTAATGGTGTTAATGACAGTTAACGATGGAAAGTAGCTTCACCACGCAGGGGCTTAAATCTGTAAAATATGTAGAGATTTGCAAGTCTTGTTTAAAATCACTGTGTTAGCGGCATGGATGGCAACTACAGAAAAAAAATAAAATTCAGTTCAAGTCCTGCTTTGAAGCTTTTATGCGTGTGCTTCATTTTAAGCACAGAAATAACCAAGTTAATTCAAATTACACAAAACCATAAGCCTTCTCAAGATCAGGGCTTCATCTAAATCCATACGTATGTTTTGCTTGAGGAAAAACATTTGCAGAGTTGAGCGAGATTTATTCAGCAGCTTCCGCAGCGAAAGTCTTTCCCTTCCAGCTCAGACCACCGGTTCCCCAGACTCATGCATTCAGGAGCCAGCGCTGCCCAAGGTTGCAGCAGACCACGAAGCAGCCTTCTCGCATCCGACCAGTAACACACCGGAGCACAGAGGAAAAAAGAAAGGTCCTGCTCTTGTGTCTGCCAGTCACCTCGTTATGGAACCAGGGGTTTAACTATCCTCATTGCTACGTGCATAGCTACACTCGCATACATACATACCCCCACCGCCCTGCAACATGAGGCACTAAATCACTCTACAGCATTCAGCTCACTTATTCCCACACTAGGGTAGCGAATTGAACAGCCTGCCAGCACACAGAGTGGAGAAATATTTCCTTTGATTGGCTCTAAATTTACACGCTGCTAAATTAAACTAAATGAAGTCTTTTGAAAGAAGATGGGACTGATTAGTTCCGTTCAAACACTCCTTCGTTACTCATCCCTCCATCAAGCCTGCTCCAACTCCCCTCCAGGATTTAAAGATTTTCCTCCCATATATGCAGTCCTAAATATCTGTCTATCTCTAGTGTGCATTAGGATGGTGCATCACATCTCAGATTTCTTCCTTCCTTGAAGCAACCATCTTCTACTCCCACAAAGCAGGAAACACGCTTTAAGAAGAGTTGTCATGATACTCTCTGAATAAAACCCATCCGTTTTTTTCTTTGGACAAACTTCCCCTGGTGCTAGGAAGGATTTAGCCTAAATTACCAACTGCAAGAAGCCTCGTCGCGTGAAAACTCTGAAAAAAGCCAGGATCCCAAACACACTCCCAGACACACTCGGTTCTTGCAAAACGGGGAAGCTCTGCTCAGCGCTGTCTCTGGACACGAGTTTGCAAAGCCCCACAAGAACAGCTATCCTGGATCCACTCAAAGGTCTACCCAGCCCAGCATCTCTGCTCTAGTGACCAGTAAATGGAGAAAGATTGGTCCTACTTGCTCCCTGAAAGCTAGCGGGCACAGCACAAAGACACAGAGCAGAGCAGGCACTCTTTTCCTGCCCTCTCCCGAGGACCAGGAGAAGCAGACAAGGCTCAGGGCCAGCCAGCATCACTAACACTTGCACCGACACCATCACCTTAGGGCTGGATCACACAACCACTATCCCACACAGGAACCAGGGACTCTGAGGAGTCACAGATGCACCTGCCGCCAACTCCTGCCACCCTAGGACATCACCCCCACAAGGACGGGCTTTGGAGATGAGGAGTAAATGGAGGCTCCTCCTTCCACCCCTTACTGCTATCCTATTTCTCCACTCTTTTCATTACTGCTTCCTCTCCCTGCTTTTTTTTTTTTTTAATCTGGCCAAAAAAAAAAAAAAAGTAGTGTTGGGGGGTGAAGGGTGCAAAACACTCCACCACAATGATCAGTGGTGGATGCCCAGAAAAACGCAGAGGAACAGGGAAAACACCTGGCAATACTTTTCTGATGTATTCTTGCAGCTTCCAAAAGAGCCTGACCCAGAGTCTTCCTGAGCAGCAGCTTGCATCTTGGAGCTCATCAATCCTCAGCGGATGTATTTTTTAATTTTAAAAAACAAAAACGAAAAAGGGTTCTCTTTCATGAATTTGTGTAATTGCTTTTCGAATGGATCTGAACTTCTGACACCCACATCATCCTCTAGCAAGGAGTTCCACAGTTTAGTTTACACTGTGTGTTGAAGCAACATCTTTCGGTTTCTGATCTGGCACCAGATACCTTCCTTTGATGTCCTCCTTTTTTCTAAAGGGTCAAAGAACCAACTCAAGAACCTACAAGCCCTACTGAACCACAACCAGAATAAAACAGCAGCTCTCCATTATTAGAAGACAGACAAAGGAAGTCTTTGGACAAAGCCTCCATCTCTCATTTAGGACACACTGCCAAGCGCAACATGGCTACAACCGACCCCTGGGTTTCTAAGCTGCAAAACAAAAATGTTACTAATGGGCTCAAACTCCATCCATTCTCAAAGAACGTAAGTGCCTTTCTGGCTAATGGCACAGTCAGGACCTCAAACTTAAGCGCAAGACATATGACTGCCGTTCCCAACTGATCTCAGAGCACACTGATGCTTTTTCCATAGGAAACAGATTTTCTTCAGTGATAAAACAAAGGACAAAACTGGGATAATGAAAAATAAATGCACCCCTAAAACTTGAACCGTAAGCCTGGAAACAAAAAGAGAACAGAAGAAAGAAATTTAACAAAGCAGTGGCTGAAAGAAAATTCACACTTCCATAAAAATAGAGCTCACGTGTACTGAGAAGGCTGTTGCAGATCACAATACAGCCTCTTTAAAGCCTACCTCATAGGCTTCATAAACCTCATGCCTGTCTGGAATATGACATCTGCACAACAATTAGCAGTTTGCTTAGGTCCCAGGTAGGTAGGAAGAGCTAACATGTGAAAAAAGGGGGGTAGGGGGGAGGAGGGTTTGAAGCTCTTGGAGAGAAGCCTGTGCGGGCTGACATCTTTTGTAACAAGATAGACAAATGCAGAGGGCGGAGATGATTTTCAAATCAAACGTTATATGCTCATTAAGTGTTTTTGGAAACGACCCTCCAGCTTGCAAAGCAAAAAAAAGAATAACTGTGCCCCTCACCTGCACGGAGAGCATTTGCACTCGTTTACGACCTCAAATTGGGACGCAGCAGCACCCGTGCATTGCCGCAGCCTGCCAGCACCGGAGCCCCAACGGGCCGACTGCCAATGCAAATTCCCCTTGTGTTGAAAGGGACGTCGTTTTCAGTAATCCTCTTTTGTTAAAGAAAATCAAGTACTCGGGAAAGTGCAAAGGGTCAAATTCAAAGAAGCTTCTGCTCCCGGCAGCAATCCTCCTGGTAGCGTAAGCTATGTTCTCGCGGCGTGGCGCATTATCAGCATCTCGATACAGGAAAGTTCTGCTCCACAGTTCCAGAAACCCCCCTGCATACCAGTGGCTACGGAAACAATAGCATTTGCCATGATGTTCTCTATTAGCAGAGACATTTTACTGATTTTACCAGCTGCGCATCAGTAAGTGCTGCACAGCTCCCTGAATGCAGTTGCTGTAGTCATAGGTGACAGTTCAAAGGAATTCAGTAACAGGAACATATTTCATTAATGCCTTCTGCTGCTGGGAACACACCATTCTTTCATGTCCCAACTCAAAGTGCGGCTGTGTATATTATGTCACTCCAATAAATCTATCTGCAACCTCATCTGAATTCTGATCAGCTACTCTACAAGAACGCACAAACATCCCAGTGAATTCTCTAGCCCCCGCCATGCTCTTTTTCTTACAGCCAACAGGAAGAAATAACAATAAGCTAATCCCTGTTCTCATCTACGGATCAGGGGAGCAGTACCGGAATTACAGCAGTCTTGCAAAATCACCTGAAAATTTACTAGTTCAGGCATGGTATCTGTTCAGCACCCTTCATCGAGGTGACCGACAATAACAAAAGCACCAACGGCGCCATGTTTGTCTACAAGCACAAATTCTTCACAAAGTTCCCCTTGCTGAGCATAAGGCAGTACTAGAGAACAATCAAATGATGAAAGAAATTGAGGAATGCGTTCCCAAACACTCTTCTGCTGAGCTGGTGACAAGACCTCCAAGTACTCACAGCCTCTTCGGTTCAGGCCAGAGTTTGATACTACTACTTTAGAAAACTGTTGTAAAAATACATGGGTAAACCCGGATGCTGTACTGAAGAGATGCAGGCAGGACGTGACCTTTAAAGCCCATACTGCCATCAGTATTAAGTCAAGATCCTATATCCGGCACTCCCTCCATCTCTGATGGATTCTACTGTCAGCGTAGCAGCACAAAGAGGAAGGTTTGATCTGAAATTCAGTCTGAGTACAAGAGAAGAGACAACTGGAGGACAAACAGAGAGAGGATTACTAGGAGCCCCCAGGACATAATTTGCCAGCACCGCTCAGTTCCCCAGTGCATTACAACTGGGTTTTCACAGCCCTATTTTTCCAACAGAGAAGCAGGACCATTCTGCAGCAATCATCCTCTCCTCTTCCCAGAGGCACAGAGACACAGAGGCTCCCATAAAGCACAAAACAAGCTAAAAAAAAAAGCCAGCCCGGGAATACTGTTATTTTGGTGGAAACAGGCAGAGGTGACCATACATCTGCTCAGCAGATCTCAGTCTTGAAGATCTGCCTCAAGTCTTCCCTGCCCTGACACCCGATGGAGACTACACCTTGGTTTCTGGCATGAAGCATAGAATTGCTTCAATCTCCTCTAGAAACGGGAGCCACGGGAATGCAACTTGCCCATCCTAAAAGCCCAGTAATGGCTCTCATAAGAGAGAGCGCAGGTCCTGTCTTTCCAAACGTGACTAGCTAGTTACCTGCAGCACGTTTTAATGCAGAGGATTCAGTAGAAAGATACCAGCTGAAGGGCAAGATGCTGCAAGAACCACAATGAGCTACCAAAGGTTGCTCGCTACCTTTGCGAGACTCCTGCGATTCATACAAAAC